ATTTTATAAATAATAATATAATAGACATTTTTTAAAGAAATAATTAATTAAATCAATGTATTTAAATTATAATTATGTTTACATGAGTAGATCTTTTGACCACATGAAATTTTTAAATCTCCATAACCTTTAATATAATCGTATTATCATGAATAAGATTTCACAGGTATAACAATTAAATTTTTTATAAAAATATAAATTATATATGTGTATGTAATAAATCAATTAAATTAAATATATATATATATATATATATATAATTATTATCTTATCTTTTTGTCAAGTGAGATTTTTGAATCTCTATAAACATCTAAAATAAATACTACCATGTGATTTAATAAAATTGTGCAAATATGATGATTAAGATAGCGCGCATACTTAAACAATATATATATATATATATATATAATTAAAGAATTAATAAGTAAATAAAATTAGCTATTTGATTCTTATATCACATGAGATTTTAAATTTTTTATAGACATTTAAAATAATTATATTATCTATAAGTTAATAAAACTCAACAGGTATGATGATTAAATTTTTTAAAAAAAAAAGCCAAAAAGGGGGATGATTTTGAACTCTTTTATAATAAAATATATTTTTTCCTTTCTCTCATTTCAAAAATTTAAAAAAATGAAAAAATAATTGAGAATTACTTTTTACAAGTTAAAAAATACTTATCTGAATTTTTAAAAATATTTTATTTACAAAATAGGATGTAATTTTTCAATTAATTTCTCACCAAAAAGAAATAAGATACCAACAAATAAAATTATAATAACTCCCAATTATATGAGTTTTGATTCTTATAGCAGGGTACATTGGCTCTAAATTTTCATTTTAGATTAAGTTTGCTTTATAATAAATAATATTTTTTATTTAAACATAATTTTTAGCAGGTGAATAATAAAAAAATAGTTAAAATAATACAAATCATACAATTAAGTAAGAAAACCATTATACGGGATGAGCAGTTGGGTGTGTAAAATATTTCCTACTCATAATTGAGTTTTAAACCTTTCTCTAACTATAAAAGCCATCTTCATCGCCGTGAGTTAGTTTTCAAGATTTTTCTTCAAAATTTCGGTAGCAATTCCTCTCTTTTTCTTCTCGACGAAGTGGGGACCGTGGGCGCGACACTAACGCTATCAAATCGATGAAGCATCTTATCTGTCGGCATCGTAGCAGCCATAGCTGCTGAAATTAATTATTCGGCAAGCCATATATCTGTATAAATAATACCAAAATTGTATGTGTTATAAGTATGTAATTTGAAGTGGCGTATGCGCTATTTTCATTCTATACTTGCTTCGACATTGTCTTTATTATTTATGCCTATTGTATGCTACCGGAACCATGCAAACAAGACTGCTGCAAAACATAGATTATGTCATCTCGTTTATTATTTACGTACCTTTACTGTTTGCGTCTCACATTAATACTCCGTTTGTTTTCAAATATAAGAAAAAACAATCAATTCACAGTTTGAAAAAATTAATTAAATATAAAAATTATGTCTAAGATTTAAAAAATTAGATAAAAATTATCCTTGTAATTAATGAAATAAATATGAATTTTATAAGAGCCAGCTTGATAAAAATGTAATAAATATTTCTTGAAATTTATAATTTTTTTATAAATAAAAATAAAGAAACACGTGATAATTTTTCTTTTATATAAATATGGAGGAATATATTATTACTTTTCAAGTGTATATTTTTTTTTTTAACTAGCAAGTGGATATTAGCTGATTGACTATAAATGGAGTTCACTGTAACCTGAGAGGTGAATGTAAATTAATATATTTAAATGTTTTTTTTTTCTTATATTGGGAAGGTTTGGAATTTAAATTGTACATCTCTATCCATATCTTGTCTGATCTTTTCCTTTTTTTTCTTAAACACCCCAACATTTTATCCTTATCACTTGAGTTAGTCCCAAATGACTATAGATTTTATTATTTTAATGTTTAATAAAATCTCACGTCAAGATTTTTTTTTTTTATAAAAATAGAACTTTTCATTTGTTCATAGTTTTTATCTGCATAAAAGGCATGTGACGGATCGTATCTAAATTTGTTTGGCCAAGGATGGAGTATCTCATTAGAGGTACCGTGTTTAAATAAATTTTCAACCGGACCTGAATGTGGCTGCACTGATTACTGGAATATCTAATTAACTATGATGCTATAAATTTATTGAAACATTCGAAGTTATGCTTTACAATATCATTCAAAAAAAAAATGTATGGACATAGTGTATTATTCATATCCTATCCAATAAAAATATGTCATATTAGGTGTTACATCGGTTCAATTAATAAAACATTATGTACTATTATTTATAATAATTTTATTTTTATAATAGACTGTTTTTTTTTAATTTTTTGTCATTTTGCTACTTCATGCTACATGACTGAAGCAGTGAAAAATTACATCCCCCGTATTTTTTTTTTTTTTGGGAACTGTCAACGATATAAGTACGTACTAGACTTTCTGTTAATTAAAGAGACGACGTTTATATATAAAAAATTCCTAGCTTAGTGAAATAATACAATATATGTATATAGAAATATGTGAATAAATAAATAAAAAAATAGACACATAAAAATAAATTTCATATACAATACTTTCTCCCGTATCTCTACTAAGAACGAAAGAGAAGAAGCAATCATATAGCGTTAGGTAATTCTAATTCTCAAGTGGTGAAGCCGTGGAGAGCGGATCAAGATCACTTCAGATGTGTTTGGATTAAAAATTTTAAAACTGAGGTTAAAATTAATTGAGGTTAGCAAACTAAAGTTGAAAGAAATGTCTGTGACTTTAACGTGATTTATATTTGAATATTTTTTTTCACAAATCAGTTAAATTAACTAAAATTTATTTGAATGATTTGATTCAAAAACTAGTTGAGATATACAATGACAAAAATAGACATCAATTTTTTTGTAAATATTTTTGTAACTAATATGATATTTTTAGGAAAGAATATTAAACTTACAATTAAATTTTTCAGAAAGGTAAAATTAAATTATACAATTTTATTTTTTAAAAGTTAGAATTAAAAAATCTAAGATAAATGACATATTAAATTTTTTAAAAATTTATAAATGTGTTGCACTGATTTTAAAAAATAAATTACATTGCTACTAACTTAAAAAAATTATTGTTTATGATTAGTTTTTTATTCCATTTAATTTAATCATAATTGATTTAATGATTCAATTTGTATAATCTCATATTTCTTTTTCTTTCTATTTTTTTCTGAAGCCTTGTGCAAATATTTTACGGTAAAATGAGAGATTGAGGAAGCCAAGAGATATCATGTGAGGACAAGAAAGAGAAAATGCAACAGCCCTCCGCTCACCCCGCCTCCCCGAGATCTTTTGTGACGCTAGACACTCTCCCCCCAAGCCTCACAACAGGGTGACCCCACCCCTTATGATGAGCATCAAGAGACAAAGGCTTTCCCGCAGTAGTGTACGGGATTATTCCCCTTACGGAGAGCCTCCCCAGGTTCGATCCTCCAACCATGTGGTTCAATGATACCAGGTTCAGCCTCAACTTTGTTATATATGAGAGGTCAGCCTTAACTTTGTTATGTAGGAGAGGTTGGAGAATCGAACTTGGGGAAGCTCTCTACAAGAGGAATAATCCTGCACACTACTGCGGGGAAGCCTTTGTCTCCTGATGCTCACCGTAAGGGGTGGGGTCGTCCTGTTGTGAGGTCTGGGGGAGAGTGTCCAGCGCCGCGGGTGACGGCGAGATCCCAAGGAGGGCTGTTACAAAAAACCCACAAAACAATGAATACCAACTTCACTTTCCCACGTTACGTTGCTCCAGAAGTTGTATTCTGTGGCTTCAGTTCTAACGCTCGTTTCTTTCCCAACGCTCTTTACAAAATTTTTGTAGCAAACAAGAATAAAATTTTTATAATGAGCTTTTGATACCTCAACTGAGATTATGATTACCCAAAGCTTAGTTACGTGTTTATCCAAACATACACTTCATTTTGCTATATGGACGTCGCGAGGGCCAATTGATGGAAATCTTTATAATTACTCCCTCTGACTATAATACAAAAAATCGATAACTAATTTATAGTTATTAAAAAATTTAAAATTAAAATATACTTTTAATTCTATAACTCTATATGAGTTTTAGGTTGGCCTCTTAATTTTATAAAGGACTTTTTTACTCTCTTAACTTTAATATAGTTAATTTTATCACAAAAATATTATATTAAACTTTCAAGTATCAACAAAGAATTTTTAAATATTAACATATTAAGTTTAATTTTTTAAAAATAACAATGATTGATATAAAAAAAATAACCATATGAAACTAATGGATTAAGGGATTGAAAAGATACTTTATAAAATTAAGAGATCAAAATCACACATTAATCAAAAATTAATTGACACTTTAATCCCTTAAACATTTATGTTTTTTAATTACGTTTTAAATTAATATTTTATATAAGTTTTTTTTATACAATTAAAATTTTAATGCATCATTATTTTAAAAATAATAATACATGAAGTAAAGTTGTAAATAATTATAAAAATTATTTAATATCTCATATTTTGATTAAATAAAGCTTTTAAAATAGAGTTAAGTCTAGTAAAAGGATTAGTTCCTCATATGATGAATTAAAGTTTAAATTTTTATTTAAAAATGGTGTTCACAATTAATATTCAACATTACTTTAAATAAAATTACCTCTAATAATAATACACGTGACCAATAATTAAAAAAAAAAGTATGTTCACAAAAACAGTGGAGTAAGTAAAAAATTTATGCTGAGAGATTAAATGATTTGAATCCACAGAATGGTTCTCTGCAACAGCCAAAATACCACGAGGAAATGACAAGGCGCGCGCCACAAACCATTCCTCTGTTTTCTTGTCTTTTCTTTCCGTGTTTTTTCAATTAATCATATTCACATAATCCCCACCTGATCTATTTATAAATTATAACTTAGAATCAAGAGCTCAGCGGCACACCATGTACACAGACATGTTGGCACTACTGGTCATTCTCTTCTCATCCATCTTCTTCCTATTTCTAATCTACAGAACAAAAACCACCAGAGCACACCTACCACCAGGTCCTCCGGGTCTTCCTCTCATAGGCAATCTTCATCAGCTTCCTCACTCTGGCCAGCATCGCTATTTCTGGCTTCTCTCCAAGCAACATGGCCCTCTCATCTTCCTTCGCTTCGGCCTCAAGCCCACCATAGTTGTTTCCTCTGCCAGAATAGCCAGACAAGTCATGAAAACCCACGACCTCGTATTTGCTAGCAGACCATCCCTGCTTGGTCAACAGAAATTGTCTTACAATGGCTCCGACTTGGCTTTCGCTCCCTATGGTCAATGCTGGAGAGAAATGAAAAAACTTTGCGTTCTCCACCTGTTCAGCTCTCGGCGCATCCACTCTTTTCGTCCCATTCGGGAAGACGAGGTCGTGCGAATGATTCAAAAGTTGTCTCATTCTGCTGCTTCTCGCAGAGTAATCAACTTGAGCGAGACCATGATGTCTTTCACTGGAACTTTGATTTGTAGGATTGCTTTCGGGAAGAGGTACGAGTTGGAAGACGAAGGAAGCGAGAGGAGTAGATTTCACGGACTGCTCAACGAATCTCAGGCCTTGTTGGCAGAATTTTACTTCTCAGACTGTATACCATGGTTGGGGTGGATTGACAGAATCAGAGGACTTCACAGTCGTCTGGATAAAATCTTCAAGCAGCTCGACGAGTTCTACCAACAAGTCATCAACGACCACATGAATCCAACAACCCCTCAAACCGACCAACGAGACATCATCGATATCTTTCTTCAAATAATGAATGCTCCTTCAACCTCAGTTGATCTCACTTTGGATCGCATCAAAGCTTTGCTCATGGTAATACTGTCTCTATTTTTGGGCGCTGCATTGGAATATAGTATTTCTTGAGGGTTATTGGTTGATTAATTTCTCTTATGTGGATGCAGAATATATTTATAGCAGGAACAGACACGAGTGCAGCGACAATAGTTTGGGCCATGACCTTACTGATGAAGAATCCCAGAGTCATGAGAAAGGCACAAGATGAAATCAGAAAGTTACATGTAGAAAAAGATTTTATAAACGAAGAGGATGTAGAAAGGCTTCCTTATCTGAAAGCAGTGGTGAAGGAGACACTGAGATTGTTCCCACCTGCACCGTTGCTCGTTCCACGAGAATCTGTGGAAAAGTGCAACATGGAAGGGTATGAGATTCAACCGAAAACTCTAGTTTTGGTGAATGCATGGGCTATCGGGAGAGACCCAGAGGCATGGGAAGATGCAGAACAATTTTATCCAGAAAGGTTCTTCAACTGTTCGATAGACTTCAAAGGTCAAGACTTTGAGCTGATTCCTTTTGGAGCTGGTCGCAGGATTTGTCCAGGCATTCACATGGGAGTGGCCACCGTGGAGCTTGCACTTGCTAATCTTCTTCACTCTTTTGATTGGGCATTGCCCCGTGGGATTGAGAAGCAAGACATTGACACAGAAGTCATGCCAGGAATAACAATGCACAAGAAAAATGATCTCTGCCTTGTTGCAAAGTCAAGAATCACATAGCACGCTCACATTCGTACCTATTGGCTTAGGTTGTTCACAATATGATTCCAGATCTATGTAGCTTCAAGTGTGATAGACGAAATTTGTGCTTGTCGTATTCTGATCACAATAGTTGATCTTGATCTTTACAAAATGAAGACGTCAACATGGACTCTGATAAATATTGAAGTGAGGATAATTAACTATATGTTACAAGTTTGATTGAAACTTTGGGAGTTAAATAACTTGCGCGTCACTTAACACCACACCCTTCTAATAATATACGTGCATAACTATTTTTGCAATTTATTTATTAGATCATTATATAGATATAAATATATATATATATATAGATGCTGATTCTCATTCACTGTGTCAGGTATAAATAGAAGAAAATTCATATATGCATGTATACAGGCCGAACAGAATGGATCAAGGAAGGGAGAAGAATGCATCTAACTAATCAATAATTCGCATATCAGAGTAACGTAATGATTTCCGTTTGACAGAATGATGCAAATACATTAATCTAAACATACAGTTTTTTTTTTAAATAATACTTGACGTTACGTTCCATTAATTAAAGACGTGGGGACAATATTCTAAAGTTAATGATGAATTCAAAGCAATTTCTTTAAATCAATATTAAATTCAATAATTTAGTAAATCATCAATATCTATCAATATCAACATATAAATTTTATAACAAGAACTGTAGTAATTAACCTATTAACATAGTATATATTAGCTTAGAGGTTTTCCTTTTCGATTATTTAGATGTCAAGGAAGGTATTTATTTTAATTATTTATGTCCTATTTGTTTTTCTTTTTTGAAACATCTTAAACTAACGTGCAGGGTTGCGCCAAGAGTATCTAAAAAAAATTGATGAATAAATTAAATAAAATGTATTTTAGATTGTTAAATAAATTTTTCCCAGTGAATTTTTTTATAAACAATAAATAAGACGAGGGTAATTTCAGCCAAAATAAAAAGATGGGTGCAATGTATTGTACAGAGTCAATTATAGCCGTTAGCCATATTATCCATGGCTTACTACGTAATGTGGCTCCATGTAGATTTGAGCGACAACAAAACTAGATGCGTTCTCATTGAAGTGCCGTGTAAAGTCTGAATAATAAATTGAGGGATAATGAGAGTTTTGATGTTTTAATTCTATCTCAATTATAAATTTGATTCTTTAAATTTAATTTTTATGAATTTGATCTTCTAAATTTAACTCAATTATCATTTCAATTTTCATGTTTGAAGAGAAGATGAAACTATTAAAATTCACTAATTTTGATAAGAAAATACTGATGTAGACATATATATTAATAAAAAAAGTATAATTCTTTAGATAGAAAAAGAAATTTAAAATTTTTAAAAACAAAAGAACAAGATTGAGAGAAAGGAATTAGTTTGATAAAATTAAACTGATTTAATAGCTAATTTGTTCTCAATTAGCTATATGTACATGTTAAATCAAAACATATTTTGTACATTAGATTAATTCGAGAGTCAATTTATGTTTTAAAATTTAAATAACTAATATGATAATTTAAAAAAACATAAAGAATTAAAATAAATCAATAAAAAATAAATTTGAGGAATCAAATAAATAATTAAAATAAATTTAAGAGACTAAAAATTTTATTAATAATCTATATACACACAGGGTCACACGTTTATATTGATTTATAGACTTGTAAAGTTTGTAATAACATTTAACTAGATATTTTTTCTTCACATATTAAAAAACATACAATTTTTTTTTACTTCTCACGGCTATCTTAAGAATGATTTTAATATTTTTATTTAATACGATTCTATATTTTAAAATTTTTAACTCAAAATATTATGATAAGCTGAGGCATTCAACTATCTCAACTGGATCAAGTGCTGTTCAATGTTAAAAACACAAACTTCCTGGATTTTTATTTGGTTTGCTTTTATCTTATATGATTTGTGCCAACTATATTTAAATTTTATACGAAAAAAATCAAACACCACATGTGGTGCCAGACTGCGAGGGGATATTTAGTGGGCATATATAAGAATACAAGTTGAAATTGCTTCGAAGTTTGAACCAACAACGTGATTCAAGAGGCTAATGGGAGCCACATTTTGAAGGACGCGTGCCAGAATTAAATTGTCCTCTGCTTCCGCGGTGGCGTCTCTCTCCTCTCTCGATCTTGATTCTGCTCTGTATTGACAGTTTTTTTTTTTTAAAAAAAAAAAAACCCTCCCACTCTTCTGAAACCAAATCCACAACTTTGCATTTCTAAGAAACCATTCAATCGACTCCACTTCTGCACATATCTCATAATCAAACCTCTCCATCCCTCAACGCCCAGTTTGCATCTCATCGTAGATATGGTGCTGCTTCTCGTTCTCTTCTCCATCTTACTCACATTTCTCATCCACACAACAAGAAGAACCAGAGCTCATCTCCCACCGGGTCCTTCCGGTCTTCCTCTCATCGGCAATCTTCTCCACCTTCCTACCTCTGCCCCACACCACTATTTATGGCAACTCTCCAACCAATATGGCCCTCTCATCTTCCTGCGCCTTGGCATCAAACCCACCATAGTTGTTTCCTCTGCGAGAATAGCCAGACAAGTCCTGAAAACTCACGACCTCGTATTTGCTAGCAGACCATCCTTGCTTGGTATACGTACATTTTCTTACAATGGTTTAGACTTGGGTTTCGCTCCCTACAGTGATCACTGGAGAGAAATGAAAAAAATCTCTGTCCTCCACTTCTTTAGCTCTAGACGCTTCCACTCTTTTCGTCCCCTTCGGGAAGACGAGGTTTTACTACTGATTCGAAAGTTGTCTCATTCTGCTGCTTCTAGCAGAGTAATCAACTTGAGCGAGACAATGATGTCCTTCACAAGCACTTTAATTTGTAGGATTGCTTTCGGGAGGAGGTATGATGCAGGTAACGAAGTGACTGAGAGAAGCAGATTTCACGGGCTGCTCAACGAATCTCAGGCCTTGTTGGCGGAATTTTACTTCTCAGACCATATGCCATGGTTGGGGTGGGTTGATAGACTCAGAGGACTTCTCAGTCGACTGGATAAAACCTTCAAGCAGCTCGACATGTTCTACCAGCAAGTCATCGACGACCACATGAACCCAGCAAAACCTCAAACCAACCAACAAGACATCATCGACATCTTTCTTCAAATAATGGATGCTCCTTCATCCTCGTTTGATCTAACTCTGGATCACATAAAAGCTTTCCTCATGGTAATATTGTCTCTGTTTTTTGGCGTTGCATTATGAAGTGTCATTCTTGAACGTATTGGATTTGTTTTATGTGGATGCAGAATTTATTTATAGCAGGAACAGATCCAGGTGCCGTGACAGTAATTTGGGCTATGACCTCCCTGATAAAGAATCCAAGAGTGATCAAAACGGTACAAGATGAAATCAGAAATGTATATGGCGAGAAAGATTTTATCAGTGAAGAGGATATTGAGAAGCTTCGTTATCTTAAAGCAGTGGTGAAGGAAACTCTGAGACTATTCCCCCCTTCGCCGTTACTTTTGCCACGAGAATCCATGAAAAGGTGCGACATAGAGGGCTATCAAATTCAACCAAAGACTCTGGTGCTCGTGAATGCGTGGGCTATAGCGAGGGATCCAGAAACATGGGAAGAGCCAGAAGAGTTCTATCCAGAGAGATTCTTAAGCTGTTCAATAGACTTCAAAGGCAATGATTTTGAACTGATTCCATTTGGAGCTGGACGAAGGATTTGTCCTGCGATGCACATGGCAATGGTCACTGTGGAGCTTACACTTGCGAATCTTCTTCATTCATTTGACTGGGAATTGCCAGATGGGATTGGCAAGCATGACATCGACACAGAAGTCCTTCCAGGAATAACAGTGCACAAGAAAAATGACCTTTACCTAGTCGCCAAGAATCACGTGGCAAACCACATCAGCACCTAGCCATTTAGGTTGTTCCCAATCATCAGCACCGAGATCCGAAGAATGCCCCATGAAGTCTCGAAGATAGGGCGTGATCGAGATGAGGTAGCAAATCGACTTGCTAAGCAAGCTCTGGGACAGTCCACCCACCTGCAGATTTTTAGCCGCAGAAGGATGCACCTTCTTGAGTGATGACGGACCTGCTCAATTTGCTACTGTGCTGTCCCCCCCCCCCCCCCCCAAAAAAAAAAACTCTCTTTTTTCTTTCTGTCTTGGTTTGTTGCTGTAGTTGTTTGTTGCCCTCGCTCGGTGCTCAACGTGCAAATATAGTGTATCTAATTGAAGCGATTACATATTTTAATAGTAGAACATGAGATTCACGATAAGCTAGTTGAACCTGACATCCCTCAATAAATTTCTCGAGTATTTTAATCTAAAAATATAGAATCAGTAAATTCATATAAATTTTGAGGGTTAAAAATATATAATACCGAAAAAATTAAAAAGCTCTGAAATGGCATGGCCCCCAATGGCCTCGATTCGTACATGGAATTGAAGGGGTTAGATTGTGATTGGACCTTGGACCGGGCAACACTCAGTATCATATTGAAAAATCAATCATGGGTTTAAAATTTTGAGACCAGATTACCCCCTACACTCTCTTTCATCGTCTCAACGTCTGCGGGCGGCGAGCCGTCGAGCACTCTTCTCCACATCGTTCTCGCTCACTGGTGCCGTATGCGTTTCCCTTCTCTCCATCCGGTGTCATCCTTGCTTTTCTCGACACCGCCGTCACCATCTCACTCAAGCTTCCCAAAGCTGTGCATTGCCAAAAAAATAAAAAAAGAAGACCCATGGCGATTCAGCCCGGATCCGAGAAGAGCCATTGCAACAGGAATGAGAGACCAAGGAAACTGAGACTGGAGCGAGAAAAGGACAATTTCTCAGCAGAGTGGAGAGGCGCAAGCCCAGAATTGGTGAGTGGGAAGGGAAAAGTTGAGGCAGAGGAAGCAGGAGACTGTAAGAAAGCACTCGAATATTCGAATTTTGTTTTTAAAATTATTTTTAATTAATTTTTTTATATTAATTACTTATTTTTTAAAAATATAATATATGTTTTTTTATATTTAAAAATTATATAAGATTTAAATATATAATATTTTAATATAAAATAATTCAAAATTTAAAAAAATAATTAATATTTATTATATTTTATAAAAATAAAATTTTTTTATTTGAATACTTGTATCCTGAACTCAATCAGAAATGATCCAAATATAAAAATATTATATTTTTTAAAATTTAACTCTAACTTTTTTTTAAATAAGTTTGGGCTAACCTTTTCAATTTAACGTGAATTATTGACTCTAAATTGGAGGCCTGAATGGATGAATTATTGAGAGGTGAGTGAAAAGTCAACATCTTCATCGCCGGCATTGGCATAGTGAGTTCACCGTTGGTTGAAGGAAGAAGCCGAAGATTTTGTGTCTTTTTAGTTATTTTTGCCTGGATCTTTGGTATTAACTTTTTTTTTTATTTCATGTCATACTAAATATCATTTTAAAATTTATTCTCACTGTTAATATCATTCTCAATCTCTCAAAATTCAACACTTGTATCAAACGGTTTCGGTTTTGACACTGTAGTGCTCAACACCAACACTACGGTTGGGCCGTGTTTTTTTTTTTTTTTTGCTTTTTTTAACCACAATTCATTATAATAATAAATAAATATTATAAAATTATTATTTTAATATTTCATAAATAAATAAAGATTATGAAGTTAAAATTAAACCTAACTAGTTTAACTCACTAAAATTTAACTTAAAAAATTTATATATAAATTTTGATTTGAACAATTCAAAACTATATTGAAAACTAGCAAATAGGTTAATATTGAAAGGTGTCCAAAAATTCAGAAAGAGTGCTAACATTGTTTCTAACAAAATTTCTAAGATAGTCACTCATAAGAAGTCGCCTAGCATGCATGAGGGAATTATACAGTTGGGATGTGGTAAAGAATCCATGCAGTGGAGAGCAACTTCAATTGTTTTGTGTCCCCTCTCCCAACATACTTCCGACCTATAAATAAGGTAAGGCCCTGTATCATAGTAGTTACGTCCATGTATAATGGCACTCTTTTATAAAATCCTGCAACCCATTGATTATCTTTGTTCTAAATAGCGGTAAAGCAGATATATTTCCCTTCCTTCGTACCTGTTATTTTCAGTTTCAACATGTTATGCTGTTGATTCTGGGAATCATCATTTCTTTTCATTATGCCCAGGTGACATAGCAATTAAGAATCTTTCTATCTTGTATGGCTTTGAACAGGCTATTTTTCACATTAAAATAAAATCATTTCCTCTTTATCAAACAGAAATTTATAGCTAGCCACCCAAAGATCCCGGCAAATATAAGAGAACAAAATTTTCCAAGGAACCTTATTAGTATTAGAAGATCCCACATCATTTTCCAAGTTTCAAGCTATCCATTGTGTAGTATTTCCCTGCATGAATAGCTGCCAGAAGACCTCATTGACTACTTGTCTCCAATCCTTGAATACATGCAGCTTGTCTTCTATCTCCACACAACTAAAAGGGCATTGGTTTGAATCTAATAGCCCTCTCTTGAAGCGAAGATTTGCTGTATGAACCTTACCATGTGCCATCAACCATAAAAGCATTTTCATTTTATCCAGAATCTACAATCTCCATGTAGATTTCCACTTGAAATCTAGTCGCCTTGTGGTACCTGCAGTTAAAATCATACGAGCAAACCTAATGGAGAAGGCTCCATCTCTATAATGCTTCCAGGCATAAATATCTCTCTCCCTCAAGCTAAAATCAAGTATAGTGCGAATAATGGTGTTAACTAGCATAAATGGAAATAGAATGTTCAGTTTTGACATGTCCCAGTGCCCTGATGGAGTTAGATAATCACTCACATACTTATCAAAATCAACTAGTCCCACGAGATTAGGTGCGAAATCAATAATTTTAAAATTGAGGGGAGACCAAATATAAAATATTTTTTTATTTTATTAATTTTACACAAATGTCTATCTATGAGAGGTAATGTCATTCAAGACATAATTGGGCATTAAATATAGGTATTTTTTTTAACAAGAATTGAAACATTAATTTGTTACTGTATAAGAAACTAGCTCATTTTGTTAGACTCAACCCTTATTTCAAACTCTTCAGATCATTTTAAATTTTTTTTCAATATAGTTTTAAACTATTTAAACTAAAAATTTTATTTAAACTATTCAGGTTCAATTTTAATATCTTAATATTCATTTATTTATTAAATATTAAAATAATAATTTTATAATATTTATTTATTGTTATTATAACGAATTTGTGGTTTAAAAAACAAAAAAAAATTAACGCTGCCAAACGGTACTGTTTTAATGCTGAGCACCGAAACTAAATTCATATCAAACAGGGGCTATAACTCCCCTCCTCTGGACATGACTTTCCTGGTCTTAAGTGCTGGAGGAGAAATTGAGAAAAGAGAACAACTCGTTCCCTTCCCTTTGCCATGCAAATGTTCCGTGAGAATGCGCGCAGTCATAAAATAACTGCAACCCTCCAATATACTCACAGGGAAGCAAATATTATATTATTTCAATTATTTTAATTTAGAAAAATATAAAAAAGTTGAGTTGAGAATTAAAGAAAAAATAACAAATATTATAAAATCAATGATAAATAAAATAAAATTTTAAAATCATAAAATTAATTTTATAGAATTTATGAATACTTTTTTTAAAAAATCATAATAAAGCTTTAATTTGTTGAAAGTTGAAATACGTGTAATGACTTAAAAGTTTTGGAGTATTTTTATAACTTAAAAAATATGGTTACATAAAAAATTCTGAATAATTATATGCACGCTATGTTTAAAAAATGAATAATATACAAACTGAAATCATATGTTCAACACATAAAATTAAAATTTATACAGAGGAAATATATTTTTGACAGTTTTCACATGTCATGATATACTTATGATTCAAACAAAAGATTATTATATATATTTTACCTATAAAATATTATTATATATATTCAATTTATTAAAGAATCAATATATATCTCAAAAAATTATATGCTTGACTGAAGCTAATTTTAATCAGTATTATATATAAATTAAGCAAGACTAAATATATATTTAAGCAAATACTCAATTTGTATCACAGTCGATTTCAAATAATTTGATTTAAAAAAGAGTAGAAAGTATGATATATATTCTTTTTTAACTAATGAGAGGTTAATAAAATTTAATAGTAGTCTAATCGCAATGAGTGGATTTGTAGAAAGAATATCAGCTTCTGAGTTAATGATCTCATAGTTTTTTTTTTTTTTTGTTGGGGGGGGGGGGAGTTTAATTTCATAGTTCGGTATCTTGGAATACTTGAGTTGTTACCATTTCTGTATCTCATGAGTGTTTTTAACTAATGTGTAATCAAGATTATGTATGTCCCAGCCAATAAGAAGCTGTCAATGAATATAAAATAAAAAAATTATATACTTAATCTTATATATTTAAAATGCTTGCTTACACAATTAAATCAAGGTATGTGTATCAGAGAAAATTAATATTTTAATCATTTAACTTTTAACTCACTTATAACTCGGTCTCTCAATTATGACTCGCTGTGACTCAATCTCTCAACTATAATTTGCTGCAACTCACCTCTTCAACTTTTAATTCACCTATAATTTGATCCTTATTTTTTAATTTTTTTAAAAATTTCCTTATCAAATAAGAGGGATAAAAAAATGTTCATATATTATTCTAAAATACCCTTCCCTTACTCATTGATGTGAGATCATTGATGTGAGAGATAAGCTAACATGAAAAAAAATTAACAAAAATTCAGGAACAAATTTGTGAGTGATTCAAAAGTTGAGAGATTGAATTATAGGCGAGTCATAGTTGAGGGATTGAGTCGCAGCGAGTCATAATTAAATGATTGAGTTATAAGTGAATTAAAAGTTGGAGTACTAAAATATTAATTTTCTCTTTATTCTATAATAAATTTTTATTATTAATATTAATAACACATTTAAATCTAATCATTTTGATTTAATTTAATAAAATATATTAAACATATAAGAGTACTTGGATCCATAAAATCATAACAGTAAACTGGAGAAAACAATAACATGTTACAACTCAGTACAACAAAGACGACAGTATCCCGCGCCACAAAAACGATCACAATTGACAGTTCACGAGTAGATGACGAGTTGTATTGGGCCGCTGATGACACGGGAGCCTTTACACTGTCAATAATACTTTTATTAAAAATAAAAAAAAAATGAAAAGAACAATCAAATAGTATCTGATATAGTAATTTTAAAATAAATAAGCCATTTATATTTTAAATTTATACAATATATCAAATATTTGAATAAAAATTTAGGATGAAGATATCAAAATTTATAAAAATAAATAAATAAATATTTATATATTTAAAATTATATTTTAACATAATTAAAGTGATCTTAATTAACAAGAAGTGAAATCATATAATAAAATATAAATATGTATTCACACAAACACCAATTTTATAAAATTCATTCCAAACATTTTTCAACAAAAAAAAAACCAACACATATGGTATACTCTAAATATTAAGTATAATTTTTTATTAATGAAAGGATAACCAAAAAGAAAATATTTAGTGAACTAAAAAAATATACTATTTTTATGGGAAAGTGACAATAGAATTTCACTTAAATATATAATAACAATCAAGTCCTTAAAATGTTATAATTTCTCTGAAATTCTTAGGTACATTTCTGACATTAATGATTATAAGTTAAATGATTAAATTCTTTTTGTTTAAAATAAAAATAATGAGTCTGGCTCTATTTTCTCAATCATGATATTTGTTTAAGAAATCACAATTTTTTTGTGAAGCAACAAAATTAAATTAAAAATCACAACTTTTCATGTAGAATTTCTTTTATGATTAATAAATAAATTTTAAAAATAATCAATCTTAATTATAATTTTTATTTAAAAAATTACAATTTTAATTTTATGAATCATAGAAATTGAATAAAAAATTATAACTTTTCAAGTAAAATTTATTTTATTATTAAATTTTAAATTTTAAAAATAATTTATTACAACTTTTGTTTAATCAATCATAACTTTTATTAGGTAAATTGCAATGATTGAATAAAAAATCAAAATTTCTTACTTGAAATTTTTGTCCAAGTTTTAAAAACAACTAATTACAAAATTTTGTTTAAGCAATTACAGTTTGTATTTTGTAAAACACAAAAATTGAATAAAAAATTATAACTTTTCACTTGAATCCCATAATTTTTTATTCTAAATAATGGATGATTTAATTATTTAATTTAAAATTATTAATTTTATAAAGATACTTAGGGACTTCAAAAAAATATTATAGCATTTTAAGAAGCTCGATTGTTATTTATATATTTTGATAAAATTTTATTATTACTTTTCTTATTTTTCTTCCAATATATCATAAAAATACATATATTATAAAATGCTAAAATATATGCGCACGTGCATGGGATCTTTTTAGAAAGAATTACATTCAAGTCTTACATAAGAAAATTAATTTCATTCATGGATCTTGTAATAATTATTTTCTTTATATGAAACTTCAATATAATTCTTTTATCTTTTAAGTGAAAATCACAATAGAAGACTCGAAAGAAATTTTTATTTCAAACAAGAATTAAATAATTTTGAAATTGCTTTGCAACACTATAAAACTTAAATACAATTAAAATTTATTGTTAAAAAATAAAACTACTTCTCATAAACACACACTTTTTAACATCAATTCCTCAATTAAGAAAAAAAAATCCTATTTTATTTTAACAACAATTAATTCTCTAAATAACAACTTCATAAATTAACTTAGTAGTGGAGTGAAATGAGTGTTGTGATTTAGTGAATAAATTTATATTTAAGAAAAAAAAACTTTAATGTTAATAACAATTAATTTTTTCATTAATAACTCTAAAATATTCACTTGGTGGTAAAAGAAAGTAGGGTTGTGTATGTTGGCCTGGTGGCCTAATCAACTTAGTCCTACTCTAACTAATTAGGCTAGTTGGGTTGAGCACCAAGTAGTCCTAGCCCAACCTTGCCCGGCTCAAAAATATATATTTATTTTTATTTTTTAAAGCTTAATTAGTTTATAGTGTTAGTTTGCTTAATATTTTTTATATATTACATTGTTTCCATGTTTGTTATGGATATCTTTGTAATTTCAATTTTTCTAATCTTTCTAAATATTTAAAATTGATTTTTTTTTTCTTATATCATATAAAAGTAATAAATAATGATATAAAAAATTTAAAAAAGTATTATTTTAAATAATTATAATTATAATTTTTGTTATTTAATAAAATTATTTTTATTCAGGCTATCCAATACTCAAGTACGCACATTGGACCGGGCATCAAGCTCGGGTGGAGCCCAGCCACAACTTAGTCCATGTGCACCCCTATAAGGAAATTTGGTGACCTGATGAACAAGCTTTTATTTAAGAAAAAAACAAGTTTTATTTTTATTTTAATAATTAATTTTATTTATTTATTTATCATCATATGTCCGTATGGCTCGGGGGCTGTGGTCTTCATGCGGGTTGGCCCTGTATACAACCACGCGGTAATTACGCCACTTTATATTATTATATATGTGTGTGTTGGAACTTCGAGTGATCAGCTTCCTGGCTCCATACACATTTTGCATCGCTTCACAAATATGGAGGTATTGTTCATTTTACTCTCATCCGCCTTCATCTTGTTTCTTATCCACAGAACTAGAACCAGAGCACATCTTCTTCCACCAGGTCCTCCAAGTCTTCCTCTCATAGGCAATCTTCACCACATTCCTAGCTCTGCTCCACATCGCTTCTTATGGCATCTCTCCAAGCAATATGGCCCTCTTATGTTCCTGCGCTTTGGCGTCAAGCCCACCATTGTTGTTTCCTCTGCCAGAATAGCCAGACAAGTCATGAAAACCCACGACCTCGTATTTGCTAGCAGACCGTCGTTGCTTGGTCAACGGAAATTGTCCTACGATGGCTTAGATCTGGCTTTCACTCCCTACAGTGACTACTGGAGAGAAATGAGAAAATTGTGCGTCCTCCACTTGTTTAGCTCTCGACAAATCCGCTCCTTTCGTCCCATTCGGGAAGACGAGGTTGCGCGAATGATTCGAAATCTGTCAGTCTGTGCTGCTTCTCAGAGAGTAATCAACTTGAGCGAGAGGTTAATGTTTTTCACAAGCACTTTGATTTGTAGGATTGCTTTCGGGAAAAGGTACGAGGTGGAAGACGAAGGGCGTGAGAGGAGTAGATTTCATGGGCTGTTGAACGAAGCTGAGGCTTTGTTGGTGGAATTTTATTTCTCAGACTATCTGCCATGGTTGGGGTGGGTTGACAGACTCAGAGGACTTGTCAGTCGATTGGATAAGACCTTCAAGGAGCTTGACTTATTCTACCAACAAGTCATCGACGACCACCTGAATGCAACGACATCGCCAACCGACCAGCAAGACATCATCGATATCTTTCTTCAAATAAAGGATGCTCATTCATTGTCGTTTGATGTCACTTTCGATCACATCAAAGCTCTGCTTATGGTAACATTGTCTCATTTTCTATAATGCATAAGAGCCTTTATTTTTTGAAGGTTATTCAATTTGTTTATGTGGATGCAGAATATATTTATAGCAGGAACAGACACAAGTGCGGCAACATTAGTTTGGGCGATGACCTCATTAATGAAGAATCCCAGAGTAATGAAAAAAGTACAAGATGAAATCAGAAACTTGTATGGCCAGAAAGAATTTATAGCGAAGAAGATATTGAAAGGCTTCCCTATCTCAAAGCTGTGGTGAAGGAGACTCTAAGACTGTTTCCACCTACGCCCTTACTGCTACCAAAAGAGTCCATGGACAGGTGCAACATAGAAGGGTACGAGATTCAACCAAAAACTCTGGTTTTGGTGAATGCATGGGCTATAGGGAGAGACCCTGAGACATGGGAAGAGCCAGAACAATTTTATCCAGAGAGGTTCTTCAACTGTTCAATAGACTTCAAAGGCCAAGACTTTGAGCTGATTCCTTTTGGAGGTGGTCGCAGGATTTGCCCAGGGATGCACATGGCTGTGGTCACAGTGGAGCTTGCACTCGCTAATCTTCTTCACTCTTTTGATTGGGAATTGCCTGCTGGTATGGATGAGCAAGACATTGACACAGAAGTCATACCAGGAATAGCTGTGCACAAGAAAAACGACCTTTGCTTAGTCATTAAGAACCCATAACCGTGCTCACATGTTCACCTATTTTCGTGCTGTGTGTGTGCTTGTAATCCTTCACGGTATTTAAAATTGATCAGTTGTAAACTTTTCTCTTTCGTGCTCACATGTGGCTGTTCACAGAATGCATAATAGCAGCTTTATCCATAAATGGGAAAATTTAATTATGCTTTCCTCTTATTTTTCAAGCTGTTTAAGGGCGTGGGAGAATTGCACCAAAAGAGCTGCTCTGTTTTAGCTGCTTTTAGTGAAGAACTGCAACAAATGCTTTAAAACACGTAATGCAACAGCCCGTCGTGCAAGTGCGACTAAGTCGTCCCCGCGTTATTCGTCTCCATGAACTTTGAGTCCTGTTGATTCACCCATCGAATATGTTTTTACTCAAAGCCGAAAAAGTGCTTTTAATAAATATGAAGTCATAGATAGAGTCATTTGTTTTTCTTTAGAAATAGAAGTTGAGTGTGAATATCAATATATATACATTGAAGTCAAATATTGAGACTTTTTTTTTTTTTTTTACTTCCGAGTAGTAAGACTAAAGATGCACGTGAGCTAATAAATTGTGGTCATCAAAAGAAAATCCAACTTATGCTTACCCTACCTGCGCATTGGCATCTCTACTCGTTGGCGTGGCATTATCGTCCCTTCCTCACCTTGGAGTGCCACTTGTCCCGACAAGTGACCTTTCCCCATATGGAAACGCATCGATCCACGTACTCGTCTCAAAAATTTTGATTCACTCTGCATCAGATGGTCCTAATAACAACCGAAGAAAATTAAACAAGCTCAGGTGATAACGACCTATTAATTAAGATTATCTGAGTAATTAGGTATAAAGGAAAATAAATGACAATATAATGCAATTATTTGACTTTTTTTTTAAAAAAAAAAGAGAATTCAAAGGAAAGGATGTTAATACATATATAATTCTTCAAAGAAACCCTTTCGACTAGGTTTCGATGAAAATAACTTGAAGCAATTCGACTTGTCATGATGATATATTTGACCTTATTAATTAAGTTGCAATCACACCTCTTACATATTTTTTTTGTGTTTGTTTTCCTAGTTATTTACAAAAAAAAAAACTTACAAGAATATAGGAAGCAGTTACGGGGGGGAAGTGGGGCATGGAGGTAGTTACTAATAGGGTTAAAGAGACTTAAGAAGCAGAAGGCGAAATCAAGAGAAGTTCAGGAAAAAAATATTTTTATGGTTAAGTCAAGTTGAATTAAGGTTGGGCATCATTTGAATCAAAAAACGGAGTTGAGTTGAAAACTTCACAGGTCTAAACATAATATTAAAAAAAATAAATTAAAAGTAGATCCTATTAGAGGTAATTGGATTTTTTACATATATATTATAATATGATTTGAGACAAATATTTTATAGAAAGATGTTGAGAGTTATGTATATAAATACAATACCTTTGAACCTACTTATATGATTTAATCAATATTCACTAAGTTATATTGTTATTTTATGATAATGTTACGTTATTTTATTAACAATATAATTAGATATATTGAGCATTTATTTTTTATAAAAAAATTATATATATATATATATATATTATTTATTTTAATATTAAATTTTATTTAATTATTATGTTATCAGTTTGAATCGGCAATCTAACCCATTGGCCACTCCAATTTAACATTTGACATGCTTTAAGATTTGCTTAAAAAGTATATATTACCAGATGGCTAAGAAAAATCCAGGTATTTAATACATCTCCCAACCTCATTTTTTAGGATATTCTTTTGTTGATAAAATTGCAAAAATTAATCAAGTCAATTAAATAATATCTCTATAAACTTTTAAAACACCTTCATTTACTAAGGGAGAATAGAAAAAATATATTTTACGAACGAAATGATGAAAAATAATTTAAAAACAAAATTTATTAATTAATCATTATTATTTTTTAAAAAAATATCTTGTATTATCAGATATCAAATCATTTGAAAAAATATCTCATGAAATGGACGGATGTCCTGAGTCGTGATACATCGCGGCCAAAAATCGGTTGCGTCCGCTACCCCACATGTCGTATGCAAGCGACAAAGCGCTCTGCGTACTACAGTGTGGACAAGTGGACAGGATTAAATATCCAGCTCCTGTTTTCGTTTTCTTTTGAAATACGTAAAGCAACAAAAATTGTCTCCAAATACGGGTGTCGCCTTTTGATTGGCGAGAGGCTATTAAAAGAAAAGATATGCCCATGCGATAGATGTGGTACGTACGTTTCCTATTGCATTTCTTTCCTCTTCTATTTTTGGCCAAATCCATTTATCCCCTCAGCATCTTGTGAGAGTAAACGATTCTAAAGCCACATCACTTCTTCTATCTATGTACCTTAGAATCAGACTTCCTCATACCAGCGCCACACAAACTTTGTATCGCATCACAAATATGGTGATGATACTTTTCATTCTTTTCTCTTCACACATCATCCCCCAATTTCTTATCCACAGAACAGCGAGAACAAGTTACTGCTGCAGAATAGACTTTAATGACATTTAAAATTTTAATTTTGTGATGTTTATAAAACAATATAGAATTCAATGCTATCTTAAATTTTAAATAGCATTTCATTAATTAATGAAATGTCACAGAAATTAGCAACAATGATGACATTCTAAAAAAAATCACCTTATTACATACATTTTAAAAAAAAAAGAGAAGAGAGGTGACATTTCTTGTAGGAAATGCCATCTCTCTACTTACTTCTTAAAAAATAAAAAGAAAAAGAGGTGATGTTTTCTTGCTCTCTGCTTAATTTTTAAAAAATAAAAGGATAAGAAACGCCACGTATCTCCTTTTATTTTTTAAAAAAATAAAAAATATCACTTTTTTTAATATATATATATATATATATAATTTTTTATATATCTATCAATTCATATACATAATTTTCTTAGTAAATACATAGTTAATTTATATAATAACTTTAATCATAATTAATAAAAAAAATAATCACTTTCATACTATATAAAACTAAAATAAATTTAACAAGGTCATAAAAATTAAAGATAAAGAAAAAACATGAATTAAATATTAGTTAAGGGATATAATAAAGTTTATTAGCAATTTTTGTAATATAGTTGTAAAAAATAATACTTACAACAAAAATAAATAAACAATAAAATTGAGAAAAATTATGGCTAATGTTTAACAAGTTTTTTCCTCAAGATTAATAAAGATTATTAGCATTACCTTCTTAAAAGTTTAAAACTTAATAAAATCAAATCATTTATCATTGAAAGCACAAAGATTTAGATCTCACTGTTTGTCCCTGTAACATTCCGAAATTTTAAGACTCGGATTTATAAAAATAAATAAAATATTTATAATTAAATTAAAATTTAGAATAATTTGATAGAGGTCCAGAGTTTGAATTTTTCTAAGCAAAAGTTTAGTTTATTTGAATTTTAACTATGGAAAAAATTACCAAAGTTGACCCGGGCTTTTATGCAATAATAAAAATATTGGGTCATTTCTTGTAATTTTCCCCAAAATTTTGACCAGCATTTTAAAGGCAACAGATGCAGAAAACGCAGAAAATGAAAGGGAAGGAACGCACAAACGGGAGAGTGAGAGAGAGAGAGAGGAAAAGAAAGGAAAAGAGAGGGAGTTAGGCTTGGATCTAGGAGTCTTTACGACCGTTGCGAGCTCGGCTACATGATAGGTAAACTCCCTACTTCAATCCTCTTCTCTTTCTCTTGATTTTCTTCAATTTTTGGAAGAGGAGATTTTTGGATTTTGATCCCAAAGGCTTTATTCTTGTAAGCTTTTGTTTCTTTGGATCCTAGGGAGCATGTTTTGAGTTTCTATATAGTGATCTAATATTTTGAGTGGATAATTGGATGAAAAGAGGTGTTTTGGACACAAAATAAATCCTGAGAAATTTGGTTTTTGCTCTTCAATGGTTTAAGCTTATTGATTTAGTTATAATTTTGCTATTTGAGCCCAATAAGATTTAAATTAAGGTTTGGTTTTCATTTTAAGGGCTAATGGTGAAAGTTGGTGACACTAAGTGAAGGTTTTTAATTGATAAAAAATTATATAAATTGAAATTAGCCTAATGATGGCTAATAAATGGTTTTGGTAGTTAAGTGATACTATGTGAATGGTTGGTTAAATATATGGACCATTGGGATGGATTATGGCTCATAGACCCAAGTTGTATGGTATGAGTTATAGTCTTCATTAATGCTATTTGTCATGATAAGTGATGTGGATCACTTATATGTTGTAGAAAATGTTGGTGGAACTTATTGAGAAGTAAGGAACAAGCCGAGCCCTATTTTGTACAAGGGGAACCCTTTTGGTACCAAAGGGTTGAGGTAACAGGGAAATTTATATTTTTTATTACTTTGTTTTAGCTATTTTTGAATAAATATTACTAGTTATCATGCATTACATGTTTTAAAAGATTAAATGTGCTTTATAAGGGGTTATGGGGTACTACTTTGATTATAGTGCAAATATATTTTCTAATTGTTTAATAACAATGTTTTTATGGAAATGAGATTTAATAAATATTATACTACTTTAGAGTGTTGAATGGTCAATACTCAGGAAAGGTAGACAAGAGTAAAAGGCATGATCTCGGTGGGAGTTCACCAATGAGAAGGTGTGGATTTTTGATATTCTATGGCACACTGTCAGTACTCAGTGTTGTCTTACGTATTGTGGGCTCAGTGCACTAAAGTGGTTAGTGTATTGAGTGTTCGACACCTCTCAGTGGGGGAGGGAATCCAACATATGAAGTGTGAGGTTGAGTGCCTAGGCCAAGGTAGCCCTCACATGAAAAGTAAGTTGGGCTGGCTCTGGGAGGGAGTTAGCTTTAACTGCTTAGGATTCACGTTGAAGGGGCATAGGAGGTTCGGTGGATTAGATCATGCCTTAGATTATGTTTTGTGCCTGTGGAGGTACAAGTAGGTATAAGGTTTACCTGCGAGTTAAAGAGTGCCAGGGGGCATTCTGTTGGTCATGAAAGGCCATACCGGCCTAGGTCATGCATTCATGCATTTTAAATGGCTAAATTATATACTATGTTGAATTTATTATTCGTTTATTTGATTATGGCTTACTTTGTAATAATCAATGTAGATTTCACTGTTACTGAAACTGTGGTTGTCTCACCCCTTTCTTTTCAATATTTTAAGTCCAGGCGAAGGATCCAGTGGTGGACGGGGAAAGGAGCAAAGCTAGGGGTTTGCTTGTGATTTGTAAAGAACTGCAACCCCTTTCTTTTGAGCAAATATATTGTAATGTATTTAAGATTAGGGTGCCAGTAGGATATGATTATGTGTGTGTGTGTGTGAATATGTGTGGATTGTGTGCTTGTGTATGAATTTTTGTCTGTTTGCAGAATTGTGGCTAGGAAACTTGGTTATGGTATGTGGTTTTGATGGATTTACTTAGTAGACCAAGTTTCTATTACAAGCAGATCTTTATTTTGATATATATGTGATTTTATAAGCAAATGCAAAGTGGTTGCATTGCAAATGGTGTGCTATGGGCAAACATACAGCTTGGATAGAGAGAGTGGGTGTGTAGGCCCCATAAGGAGCTCTGAGCCAAGTGAAAATGTTTAGCATATGTATTTATATAAATACATGGTATTTAGATTGATTTGTGACCACTCTTGTATGATTTGTGCATTTTGGGGGTTTAGGGTCCATTTTGGGAAATGGCACCCGGGTGGTCAAATTTTGATGTATGGGGGTTTTCCATCATTTGAATGTTCTTTCAGGTGTTTTTAGTCTTATTTGACGTGTCCAAAGTGTTCCCACAGGTTTGTGATCATTAGGATGAGATTTGGACAATTTTGAAAATGGTTTTTACTAAAAAGCTGCACTTTTGCATCCGGGTGTCCAAATTTTAATCCAACCGTTGGATTTCTCTAAAATTTGGGTCACAAGTAAAACCTTTTACAAGCTTCGTGTGGGCTTTGGAATCACATCGATCGGATATCGGACAGAGAAACGACGCACTTCGGAATTTGGTCTGGAGGTGCTGTCATGACAGCATTAAATTGCTGTCATGACAGCTACAGTATTGATGTTGTAACCTGCATAAAATTCAATCCGTCCGTTGGATCTTTTCAAAATTTAGTATGCTAATAGTATTCTTTAAAAGTGACATGTGGGCTTTAGAATCACTCCGATCGGAGATCAGATGATGAAATGGTGCACTCCGGAAGTTGGTCCGGAAGTGCTGTCATGACAGCTTTTTAGCTATCATGATAGCAAAAATAACTATTTTTTTTACATGTCTAATTTTCAATCTAACCGTTGGATCTTTTTAAAATTTGGTATACTTATAGTACCCTTTGAATGTGACGTGTGAGCTTTAAAATCACTTCGATCGGAAGTTGAATGACGAAACGGTGCCTCCCGAAAGTTGGCCCAGGAGGGCTGTCATGACAGCAATTTAATGCTATCATGATAGCATCTTTTTATTTCACTTTTGTCTAGCTTGCTTCCGCGTGCTATAGGTAGAATCTATAAATTTTTTTTAAGGCTTTAAATGGTTTGTTTCCTAAGTTGGTTTTAGGATTAATTCCTTAACCACACTTAGTTTATTTGATTGTGTGATTTTTGGATAACACTCGGGGCAAGTGTTACAGTCCCCTAGATCTGAATAAAGATTTATACCTAAAGAATTATTTTACCAACAAACATGTTTGGTAACAAATTAAAAGAACAAACCCTTTAATAATGAAAAGAAAAATTGCCAACTGAAGATAAACAACAACAAAACCATAAAGATCCATGTATGTATATATATATGAATTGGTAGATAAGAGATAATAAAAAAAAAACCTGTTATTAGTATACACATACAAGCAACCTTGGCTAGAGAAGACGACGAGAGCACCTTCAACAATTAGAGAATAGATAATTTGTGAATTATAAGAAAGAAGAGTGAGCGGCTGAACGAAGAGAACAACTTAGATGAAGAAATTTAAGGTTTCAAAATTCATATAACAGTTAAAAACTATTCATAATTTTAAAAATAATTAAAACTCATAGCAATGGCATTTTTTCATGAAAAAATTCACCTCTCTAATTTTTTAAAAAATTAAACTCATTAATAAAAAAATAATTTTGAAGAAAGAGGTGGCATTTCCATCTCATGAAAATGCCACCTCTCTCATTTAAATATTTTTTTAATATTTAAAATTAACTAAATAATATTTAATACCTATATATATTAAAAATAAAATAGTAAAAAAGAAGAGAGGCCACCTCTCTTCAAGTATTTTTTTTAAATATTGTTATATAAGTGTTATAAACACTTAATAACCAAATTATTGTGAAATAATTTTTGATATGATAAAAAAAATTTTAAATCAATAAGAGAGTATTGAAAATGTGATTTTCAAGCAAGTGGCATATCTTATTTTATTTATTAAATGATATGATATATTATTTAAAATTATTTATTTAACAAATCAAAATAAATAATTATTTAATTTGATAAAATAAAATAATAATCAATAACAAGGTAGAGAGGTGGCGTTTTCAAGTTGAAGAAATGTCACCTCTCTGCTTTGAAATTGTTAGATAATAATACATATTAATAAGTAATATCAATTAAATAAATTATAATAAAATAATATTTTATCCTAGAATAAAATGTTGAAAAAGGAAGTTTGGAAATGCCACCTCTCCTCAGTTATTTTTAAATATTGTTATATATTTGTTATAAATACTTAATAACTAAATTGTAATAAAATAATTTTTTAATATGATAAAGCAAATTTTTTAAATTAATAAGAGAGTATCAAGAATGATATTTTCAAGCACAACAAATGTGGTCTCTCTTATTTTATTTATTAAATGATGTGATATTTTATTTAAAATTATTTATTTAACAAATTATAATAAATAATTATTTAATCTTATAGAATAAAATATTAAATCAATAATAGGGTAGAGAGGTGGCATTTCTGAGCTGAAGAAATGCCATCACTCTGCTTTTAAATTATTAGATAATAATACATATTAATAATTAAAATTAATTAAATAAATTATAATTAAATAATATTTTTTCTTATAATAAAATGTTGAAAAAAGAAGAGAGGTGGCATTTTCAAGTTTGGAAATGCCACCTCTCTTCAATTATTTTTTAAATATTGTTATATATTTATCATAAATACTTAATAGCTAAATTATAATGACATAATTTTTTAATATGATAAAATAAATTTTTAAATTAGTAAGAGAGTATTGAGAAAGGCATTTTCAAGCACATGGCCTCTCTTATTTTATTATTAAATGATATAATATACTATTTAAAATTATTTATTTAAAAAATTAAATAAATAATTATTTAATTGATAGAATTAAATATTAAATTAACAACAGAGCAGAGAGGTGGCATTTTTCAGCTAAAGAAATGCCACCTATCTGCTTTTTAAATTATTAGATAACAATACATATTAATAATTAATATCAATTAAATAAATTATAATAAAATAATATTTTATCTTATAATAAAATGTTGAAAAAGGAAGAGAGGTGGCATTTTCAAGTTTAGAAATGCCACATCTTCTCAATTATTTTTGAAATATTATTATATATTTATTATAAATACTTAATAACTAAATTATAATGAAATAATTTTTTAATATGATAAAAAAATTTTAAATTAATAAGAAAGTATTGAGAATGAGATTTTTAAGCACGTGGCCTCTCTTATTTTATTTATTAAATAATATGATATATTATTTAGAATTATTTATTTGACAACTTATAATAAATAATTATTTAATCTGATAGAATAAAATAATAAATCAATAACAGGGTAGATAGGTGGTATTTCTAAGTTGAAGAAACATCATCTCTCTACTTTTAAATTATTAGATAATAATGCATATTAATAATTAATATCAATTAAATAAATTATAATAAAATAATATTTTATTTTATAATAAAATATAGAAAAAGGAAGAGAGGTGGCATTTCCAAGTTTGAAAAGGCCACCTCTCTTTAATTATTTTTTAAATATTTTTATATACTAGTTATAAATACTTAATAAGTAAATTATAATATAATAATTTTTATGATCAAATAAATTTTTAAATCAATAAGAGAGTATAGAGAATAGTATTTTGGAGCATAGCAAATGTGGCCTCTCTTATTTTATTTATTAAATGATGTAATATACTATTTAAAATTATTTTTTTAACAAATTATAATAAATAATTGTTTAATTTGATAGGATAAAATATTAAATCAATAACAAGGGAGAGAGGTGGTGTTTCCAAGTTGAAGAAACGCCTCCTCTCTACTTCCTAATTATTAAATAATAATACATATTGATATTTAATATTAATTAAATAAATTATAATAAAATAATATTTTAACTTATAATAAAATGTCGAAAAAGGAAGAAAGGTGTCATTTCTAAGTTTGAAAACGCCAACTCTCTTTATTTTTTTATTAAATAATAGATATACTAATTAAAATTACTAATTAAATAAATTATAATAAAATAATTATTTAATATCATAAAATAAAATGTTAAAATTAATAATAGAGTAGGGAGGTAGCGTTTTTAATTAGAAACGTCACCTCTCTATTTTTGATTGTAAAAGAAATATTAATTTAACAAAAAAAGAGGTGGTGTTTTGCCCTTCTTGAAACACCACATCTTATTATTTATTAAAATTGTAAGTAAAAAATAATTTATAAGCAGTGACATTTGAAATAATAAATGCCACATCTTTGTTTCGACTTTAATATTAATGATGTTTTATTTTTTATTGCTACAAAATGTATGCTATTAAATTTCATTTTTATAATGCTGAGTGCAAATCTACCACGGTCCTCCAGGTCTTCCTCACAGGCAATCTTCACCACATTCCTAGCTCTGCTCCACATCGCTTCTTATGGCATCTCTCCAAGCAATATGGCCCTCTTATGTTCCTGCGCTTTGGCGTCAAGCCCACCATTGTTGTTTCCTCTGCCAGAATAGCCAGACAAGTCATGAAAACCCACGACCTCGTATTTGCTAGCAGACCCTCCATGCCTGGTCAACGGAAATTGTCTTACAATGGCTTAGACTTGGCTTTCGCTCCCTACTGTGACTATTGGAGAGAAATGAGAAAATTGTGTCCCCTCCACTTGTTTAGCTCTCGACAAATCCGCTCCTTTCGTCCCATTCGGGAAGACGAGATTGCGCGAATGATTCGGATGTTGTCACAGTCTGCTGCTTCTCAGAGAGTAATCAACTTGAGCGAGAGGTTAATGTTTTTCACAAGCACTTTGATTTGTAGTGTTGCTTTTGGGAAATAGTACGAGGTGGAAGACGAAGAAGGATGTGAGAAAAGTAGATTTCATGGGCTGCTGAATGAAGCTGAGGCTTTGCTGGCGGAATTTTTCTTCTGAGACTACGTGCCACGGTTGGGGTGGGTTGATAGACTCAGAGGACTTCTCAGTCGACTAGATAAAA